AATCCCAAATATTCGTAGAATTTTTCTGATTGTAGACGTTGAATATTTGGAAACTGAATCTTTTTAATTGTGTCATTTAAAGACGAATTTTGGAACAGTACTATCGATTTCTGCGATTGAATTGAAGTTTTTGGTAATATCGGAATCCAGATCAGCTTGCAATATCATTTTCTTCAAAATTTATAAAATCGGTTAAGATGGGGACAGTAAACATGAAAAAACACATTTCAGAAAAGATATCTCGCCATATTTGACTTCTACTCCTTTTATCTCTAATATTTTTGTTCTAATAAATTAATGTCACATGTCAACAGACACACATTGTTCATCGGAATTTTCGGCTAGACAGCAGGTGGTGTTCTTTGTTTGGTATATTGGATGGTCTTTGAAAAAAATCGCAAGTTTTCCTCAAATTGTACAGCTTGAATTGCCTTAAATTCGCTCGAAATTGAAATTACAGAACTACTGTAGTTAAAGGCGCGTTTCCCCAAGAGTTTTGTTCGCTTCGAAGCCCAGATACGGTTCGAACCGTTTTTGCCGCCAAGCCGCCATTTTTGAATTTCTGTTCAGTATTCCTCCATCATTTTATGGATTTTCCGTTCTCCCGCTACCCTCTGTTGTATATCTCCGAATCTCAGCTCATTGCTTGTCGGAGGGGCGGTTCCATCGGTTCCATCGTGACGTCACAGACGCGAGTAAACTCCACCCAATTTCTGGGCGGAGTTGGTGGTGCCAGTGCATATAAAAGTCCCGTTTTTCTTTGTTCCTCAGTTAATTGTATAGTTTCAAGTCGATTCTTTTCTCATGAATACTTCATTTTGAACTGGCGCTCAAGGAGAAATAGCGGAGGACCGTGGCCGTTTGCAAAAGAAATTTCGGCCAAATAAACAAGCTCTTGCTTTTTCAGCCGACAATTATTTAGTTATCGTTAAAAAAAAAGCTCTAAAACAGTCTTGTGACCTGTCAGTTAGCAAGATTCTTATCGAATGGTTCTTTGATTTAAAATTCAGTCTCCTCCCGCTATTTTTGCCCTAAAAGTGTCTTTCTCTCTGGAGCGAAAGTGATGGCGCTGCGCCTCCTTTCTCTCGCCAGCGCGCGCGAAAATCACCATTTCAATTGAGAACTGTCCATTCAAACCTTCATTCTGACCGTTTTGAATATACTCTCTTTCCTCTCCCGACTTTAATTTACTTCAAATTTTCTATTCTGTTCCAGGATGCAGCGCCATAACAGCACCTACGTTGTGAAGCGTGATGGACGCATGGAGAATGTCCATTTCGACAAGATCACCTCCAGAATTCAGAAACTCAGCTACGGCTTGAACATGGATTTTGTTGATCCAGTAAGCGACTCCTTCAATTTGTCTGGCTTAAATGCTGAGCTTAATGTTTCCAGGTTGCCGTCGCAATCAAAGTTATCAGTGGATTGTACAAAGGAGTGACAACAGTTGAATTGGACAATCTTGCTGCTGAAACTGCCGCTTCCATGACCACCCAGCATCCAGAGTATGCTCTTCTCGCCGCTCGGATTGCCGTTTCCAACTTGCACAAGAAGACTAACAAGGTGTTCTCGGAGGTCATGAAGACTCTTCACGAGTTCCATCACCCACACACTGGAAAGCACGCACCAATGATCAGTGACGAAACATGGGAAATCATTCAGAAGAACGCCGATGTACGTTACAGAGCTCTAATCATTTAAATTCTTGTTTTTTCAGAAGCTCAACTCCGCCATCGTCTACGACAGAGATTACTCTTACACCTACTTCGGATTCAAGACGCTCGAGCGTTCCTACCTTCTCAAGATCAACAAGGAAGTCGTCGAAAGACCACAGCAAATGCTGATGCGTGTCGCCATTGGAATCCACGGAAAAGACATTTCCGCCGCCATTGAGACGTACAACTTGATGTCCGAACGGTACATGACACATGCCTCTCCAACTCTCTTCAACTCTGGAACGTGCCGTCCACAGATGTCTTCATGCTTCTTGTTGACGATGAGCGAGGACTCGATTCTCGGAATCTACGACACTTTGAAGCAGTGCGCTCTGATTTCGAAGAGTGCTGGAGGCATCGGTCTCAATGTGCACAAGATCCGTGCAACTGGCTCAGTGATTGCCGGAACCAATGGAACATCCAATGGACTCATACCAATGCTTCGTGTCTACAACAACACCGCTCGTTACGTTGATCAAGGAGGTAACAAACGACCAGGAGCATTCGCCATCTACTTGGAGCCATGGCACGCCGATATCTTCGAGTTTGTTGCTCTTCGAAAGAACACCGGACCAGAAGAGGAACGTGCTCGTGACTTGTTCTTGGCTCTCTGGGTGCCAGATCTCTTCATGAAGCGCGTCGAAAAAGATCAAGATTGGTCGTTGATGTGCCCATGCGAGTGCCCAGGACTTGATGATTGCTGGGGAGAGGAATTCGAGACTCTTTATGCCAAGTGAGTGATGACAAGATGTTTAGCTAGCTAGAGATTACCGAAGTGCGATATCCAGTCATTGAATTCATTTTAATGTTTGGCGTGTTGTTTTTTTATTACTTCGAAGAGAGAATAGCTGTACGATAACCAAAACAGCTCCCTATCGGGTTGCTTGGGACAAAAATCAGCTGACAACCCCTCCTGATTATTTTTCAAATTTTGATTATTATTCAATTTTTTTTTCAGGTACGAAGCCGAGGGACGTGTTCGCAAAACAGTGAAGGCTCGAAAGCTCTGGGAGCACATTGTCTCCAATCAAATCGAGACCGGACTTCCATACATCACCTACAAGGATGCCGCCAATCGCAAGTCGAACCAGCAAAACTTGGGAACTATCAAGTGCTCCAACTTGTGCACTGAGATTATCGAGTACTCTGCTCCAGACGAGGTTGCTGTTTGCAATCTCGCTTCTATTGCTTTGAACCGTTTCGTGACTAACGACAAAAAGTTCGACTTTGTCAAGCTCGCTGAGGTGACCAAGGTCATAACAAAGAATCTGAACAAGATCATTGACGTCAACTATTATCCAATTGAAGAGGCTCGCAACTCGAACATGCGCCATCGTCCAATCGGTCTCGGAGTTCAAGGACTCGCTGACTGCTTCATGTTGATGCGTTATCCATTCACATCTCCACAGGCCAGAGATCTCAACAAGAGAATCTTCGAGACCATCTACTACGCTGCATTGGAAGCTAGTTGCGAGTTGGCTGAAAGAGATGGACCATACTCTACATATGAGGGATCTCCAGTTTCCAAGGGACAACTTCAGTTTGATATGTGGGGAGTTACTCCAACTAATCAATGCAACTGGGACGAGCTTCGCAAGAAAATCGCCAAGTGAGTTTTGAAAATTCAGAGTATTCAATTTATTAATGTTCTCTCAGGCATGGAGTTCGCAACAGTCTCCTCATGGCTCCAATGCCAACTGCTTCCACCGCTCAGATCCTCGGAAACAACGAATCGATTGAGCCATACACCTCGAACATCTACTCTCGTCGTGTGCTCTCCGGTGACTTCCAAATCGTCAACCCACACATGCTGAAGGATTTGGTCGAGAGAGGATTGTGGACCGATGAGATGAAGAACCGCCTCATTGCCAACAATGGATCGATTCAGAACATCCCAGGAATTCCAGACGATATCAAGGAGCTTTACCTCACCGTCTGGGAGATCTCACAGAAGGAGATTATCGAGATGGCTGCCGATCGTGGAGCATTCATCGATCAATCCCAGTCACTCAACATTCACATGGCCAAGCCAAGCTACGCCGCCATCACATCAATGCACTTCTACGGATGGAAGAAGGGACTCAAGACTGGAATGTACTACTTGCGTACCAAGCCAGCTGTCAACGCCGTTCAATTTACCGTGGATAAGGCCGCTCTTCAGCAGAAGAATGTCCAGAAAGCAGAATCTCGAGTCGCTTCTCCAGAAGCGCAAGACGAAGGATGCCTCATGTGCTCCGGATAACTAACTAACTTTCATTCGTTGATAATGTTTGTACATTGCTAATTTGCTCACTTTCACCAATTCACTTTGATCCTCCTTTTTCTTATCAATTCGCTTTCTCAATACTGATTTTTTTTCTATATTGCTTCGAAAAATAAATACTGATGGTCTGCTATTCTTTTTCGAAGTAGGCGTTTTTCCGGTGAGCGCATGGCGCATTCTTCGGGCGCATGGACCGTTACTTTTAATAGAAAACTGCGATGAAGTGATGTTCCATAAATAAAAACTGATGGTCTTGAGCAAAAAAATTCCCAATATTCGACAATTAAAAAAAAATTCCAGGTTTCATCCAGAAGAAGAATTAAGGTATCAGTTGTTTTTTTGTGTTTCAATAAAATTTATATATTCCATTTAACTTGATTTCTGTCAATCACATGCTTTGGTTTTCTCCACTTTTCTTACTTCCAGCTCAATTTTAATTAATTGAAAGCTGATTAATCGGAAATTTTACAGATACTGATCGCGTTAACCCGAAAATTAGCGCCAACCGCGCCAGAATGGGTAAGAACGATCAATACTATGCAGTGGCACGGGGCCGTCAGGTATTCTGATTCCTATCTTTATCCGAATTTTTTTGTCAAATTCACAGGTTGGCATCTACCGTACCTGGAACGAATGCAAAACGCAGGTCGACGGATTCCAAAGCGCGAGGTAGTTCCTCTCGTTCGTTGCTTGTGTCCTCATTAGGAGCATCTCGTTTTAGATACAAGAAGTTTCCCTCTGAAGCCGAAGCACGCAAGTTTGTCGCCGACAATATCAATGTAGCTGGTTCGATGCGTGGGTTTTTCATATTGTGAAGAAAGAAGAAGAATAGGATGATTTTCAGCCAAGCCAGACGTCCCTACAGTTAAAGTTGGAGCTTCTTTAAACAATAAGTCAACACCTTCAACGCCAGATGGAACGAGAAAAAGAAAGGGAAACGAATCATGGAGATCATCACCAGCAAAACGGTCGAAACCCGATCCGGAAGTCACAGACCCAGAGTTCATAGATGCTCCTGTCGTTTACACAGACGGAGCTTGCTCTAAGAATGGAAAGGCGAAAGCACGTGCTGGATGGGGAGTCTATTGGGGCGAAGACAGTGAGGATAATGCATTCGGTCCCGTCTACGGAACAGCGACTAACAATCGAGGAGAGCTGATTGCCGTTGAAAAAGCTCTGGAGAAGGCAATCGAGAAGGGACTGACCAAACTCGTAGTGAAGACCGACTCGAATCTTCTCGTCCAATCGATAAACATCTGGATTCATGGCTGGAAGCGGAAGGGATGGAAGACTGCGACAGGATCAGATGTTCTTAATAAGGATGTGCTTGTGAAAATCGATAATTTGAGACAGAAGCTGAAGGTTTGAGATACAATTCTATATAGAAATCATTGTTTCCTTCTTAATTTCAGGTAAAGTTCATGCATGTTCGCGGTCATGCTGGCGTCGATGGAAACGAGAAGGCCGACAAATTGGCTAGAAAAGGAGCGGCCATGTATACAAAAATGGGTTAAAAAACTTTATCCGGTGGAGAATTGATAATTGATAAGCTTATTACATTTAGTTTTAATTTGATGTATTTCATCTGTAAATGAAATTCTATTGGGCTTCTTCTTTATCGACCCCAGCGCTTTTCGTCCTTCAAGTTCATTTTTTTTATTCTGTATCTGCTCTAAACAACATCATGAGGACGAAAGTGGCTCTCTCTGAAGGTGTACGTGGGTAATGTTTAGTGAACCGGCAATCGAGCAGATTTTGCGCCCTTTCGATTCTCTCCCCTCTTGTGCTCAATGAGCCGGAATGGAAACATTGAACTATGTTTCACGATGGACCGAGTTCTTAGCGAGATTAGCTTGATTCTTGGTTTTTTCACTCTCTCTTCTCGCTCTTTCCTTCTCCCATGTCATTTATTTTCGAAAAAGGCAACACAAAAAGATGTTCATCGTCTTCGTCTTCAGGACTCATTCCGACTCAAAAACGATTGATGACTCTGTTTCGTTTCGGCAAAAGGAACCGATAATGGCTCTCTCGTGAATCCTTCTTCTTCTAAAAATGGAACTTTCTTTCGGTTTCGTTCCTGGTTTTTCTTTTCCTTTTCGACTCGAAAAAGAATTTTCGGTCGCCAAAAAAAGGAGAAATATGATTTTGACGGGTGTGGAGATGGATGATTGGATTAGGAGAAAGGCAACACTTTAGAATGAAATATCAAACAAATTTTTCTTTGAAAATCTCTGATCTTTTACATTTTTGATATTATTCTTGTTCGGCCGCGGCGATGAACATTGCAGCCCGAAATTGTATTTAAAGAGGCAGCGAAAACAACAAAAGTTTCATTTTTTTTGAATAATTGCTAGCTCCTTCGATCCCTCAGATTTTTTTCTGGCTTGTTTTCGTTTATTTACTTCCGATTTTCATGAATAATCAGCTGAATCCTCTAATAAAATAGAAAACAACTTAAAATGTGTCAAACGATTACGATTTCAGGCGAATTTTCTACATTTCACTGATATCAGAGGAATTCATTCGAATTTATTCTAAGCCGCCAATTGGAGATTTTCACTGAATTTACTAACTTTGGCAATATTAAAGTGTGTTCCAAGCTCTCGAAGTCATAGTATTTGTTTTCATTCTTGAATGTTCCAAAATTAGAAAAAAATCGATGAAAAACCATCGAAAAATGAAATATTCCCAGAAGGCACTCGAAGCCCCGCCCACTTGCAAGCAAAGTATAGTGGGCGGCGGAGCCCGGCAGATGTCGGTACAATCAGAATACCCCACTATATATTCGTCCTCGTTTATGGGGTTTTTCGGTGAACATCAATCAATCTCTTCTGAGTCGGCTGAGATCCTAAGGATGGTTGGCAATCAGGGGAGCTCCTAGGTTAGTATGCATACCCCCTAGTGGCTCAGCAGGGATCGTGTGATAGGATCCCCCGAGATAACAGCGGGTACATCCCGGGAATTTTCTGAGCTCTGAACGGCCTGTGTTGCAAAAAAATACCGAAGTATGTATTTTGATAAAATGCTTAATTTTCGTCAGCTTTTCGAAGCGTTTCGCAGCTTTTCGAAGCTTTTCGAAGCTTTTCGTCATCTTTTCGTCCGTCAGGTCCGTCCGTCAGGTTCGACCTCAATGATCTGGATTTCTTTGAAAGACATCAAGAATAGTCAACTAGCAATATATTTTTGATATATTGATGAAAATTTTGTCAGTTTTTCACTTTTTGATATTTTTCACAGTAATAATTAGGCTCGAAGGAAGCGATAATTAGGCTCGAAGGTATCGAATTTAAAATGGATTTTTTGAATAAAACTTATTCAAATCGAAAATCCGTGCATTCAGACACTGAAATTTGGGACGACATAATTTATCAATTCTAGAAGAGGAAGTTGAAAAAAGAAACCTTACAATAGTTTGATGTTCTGAGTATTTCGTAAAATGAGAGCAAAAATTTAGTCATTACATCAGAGTTCTATCAGCAAAGCTTTAATTTCGACCTACTCAACAGAATTTGTATAAAAAGACTATTTTAAATGATATTTTAAATGAAG